TCACAGTCTCGGCAGTCTAAGCACAAAACAGGCAAAGCGACTGTCACAAAACTTCCTGAACATCGGGCTACTCACGTTGAATCTGCACAGTCAATGCATTAATGGCAACGCAGCGGATCACGTGCCCAACAATATCAGTACCTATCCTAGGCACCCATTTAACAACGTACACGGTCACAAAACTTCCTACACATCGTACTAATCACGTTAAGTCAGCACAACCAATTCAATACCCGCGACACAGCGGATCATGTCGGATCATAGCGGATGAGCGGATCATCAGTCTCGGCAAACGTCACATCCAAACTGTGCTTGCCAGGTTGTTGCGTCGGTACACGGCAAGCACGCCCACTTTTTGCATGTTGTACACTGGATCCACGATTCACAGCTGAGCCTATACTGCATCTCACATTACAGACACGACGTTTTATCGTCAGCCTTTGGCAAGTCCTTTGCACCTCCCAGCTTTCTCTTCTTACCTTTCGTGTTAGCGGTGTTGCTCTTAACATCGAACAGTCGCTTTGACACACGCTCGTGTCTGGCTTGCAACTTTCAGGCCTCCTTCTCCTCTTTCTCTTTTTTTCTTTGCAGCTCTCGTGTACTAGTAGATATCATGGTCTTTCCTTTTTCCGCTGTCGCCGACTCGGCTCCACTTTGGGTCCTGCCTTAAAAGATGGGGAACCATGGGGTCCTGCCTTAAAAGATGGGGAACCATGGGGTCCTGCCTTAAAAGATGGGGGACCGTGGGGTCCTGCCTTAAAAGATGGGGGACCATGAGGTCCTGCCTTATAATATGGGGACCAGGAAGTGTAAGGATACGGTTGTGGAACATATGCATGGGCATTGGACAACATGGCTCACTGGAGGATCCTTTGGGATGCAAAATTATCCATTAAAAAAACTATGTTCTGACGGAATTACAACATAATTAACAACCATAGGAAACGTGAAAATGAAAGGAAATTTATAATCATGAAAATATAAGACAGTTCAATGATGAACAATGTTTTCTTAAGGATCGTGTGGGCGATCTGGGGACTGTTTAATGCCACTTTGTCATTGCTGCCTTATCGGTTTAAGGAAGAAATTGGGATAAAAAGAACTCACTTTCGGATATCCCCGAAACTCCTGCGGTGAGACAAGCCGGACTGCGGGAGATGCTGGGCTGAGTGGGTCACCTCCTTGAACCTCAGTTGGAGCCCGTGACGGCCCAGAAACTGCATCCGGTTTGTTGCTTGCAAATGGTGGCCTTTTCAGCTGCAGGTCAACCGGATCAGTCGGCCTCCTTGACAGGGATGGAGGCTCCGGACTCTCGACGCGGTCCTCTTCGTGTGTATCCGCTTCGTGTGTGTCGTCTTCGTGTGCGCCCGTTTCATGTGTGTTTGCATCGTGTGTGTTCACTTCCTGTGTGTCCGCTTCGTGTGTGTCGTCTTCAGTCACCCCTGGCGCTCCTGCAGTCGCTGAGGGGGCTGGTTTGTCGGTCACGTCTGCGGGAAGGAAGTCATCCTTGGTGAAGACTTCAGTGTCCAACGGCCAGATTTCTGTCGTTCGAAAGCCGGACAGGATGTTAACTGAGGTGGCCGAGCGGATCAGCGCCTGTCCCATGAGCTTCCCCATGTTCAGGAGCTAGATGGGGTTACCCGCGTTTGGGAGCATCCAGCTGTCCACCTGCTTGTTGAAGTTTGTCTTCATCGGACCGAAGACGGTGACATCGAGCAGTTGGAGCCTGTGACTCGTGTGAGGAGGTAGAGTCACGATATAGACTCCACTGTCCTTCGCCAACGTCAACACGTTCAGGCTGACATGGCTGACGTGACTGTCGAGCACCAAGACGACTGGATTGTCCTTGTTTGCCCCCATGTGCTTCACAATGTGCTGCATCACCTTCTCAAAGTTTTCAGGCGTCATCCACCCGCTGCTGTGACACAGCTGCAGCAATCCTTCCGGGGTGCCTTCCATCAGATTCTCCCGAAGAATCTTCCTTGGGAAGACGTAGGCAGGGGGAAGATATGCCCCAGTGGCAGTCACAGCGACACACATCGTGACAAGTTCAGCCCTCTCCGCAGAGGTGGCCTTTCCAACCTGTTTGTCTCTCTTTCCAGCAATGACTTTTCCAGGCTTCTGTACAGTCGTGAATTCCAGTTTCATCTAAATTTAAAATCCTTGCACCTGAGGCTCCCGTCTGTTTCAAAAACCTCAGACAGGTTTCCGAAGAATTTCTCGGCATTGTGTCTGTTAAAGACTCCAGCTCGCGCGATGGATGTAGCTTCAGATTTCCGCAGTGCCAGCTGGGTGTTCCTTTTCATGAAGGCCTTCATCCACTCGCACCCCGCTTCTTCATTTTCAGCCCAGGAGGCGGCAAAATGCTTGTCATTTTTAACCGCTATTTGGTGGGCAACTTCACGTGTTTGCTTGTGCGTTAAACCATGGAACATCTTCGAGCACTGCATTACATATTCACCGAGGACTTGCTCCTCGTCAGCAGTGAATATCTTCGAATGACTGTAGTTGGGCTCAAGACCAGCTGCAGGATCGACGCCGTGCTTTGCGACATACCTTCCAAGGACGCTTTTGGTCACACTGTGGGGTTCTGCAGCTTTTCTCAGACTCACTCCCCCTTCTACAACATCTTTGACAGCCAGCAGCATTGAATCATGAGATATGTCTGCGTACCCCTTTTCTTTTCTAACGGATACACGTGGCATGGTTCTGAAAGAAGAAAAACAGGTGAGTAAGTTTCAGTAAAAACAGATATATCAATTTATAGGTATGTGCAGTATTGTGCACGAGTGACACTAATGGTTCCTGCAGGAGAATTGGGACATCTGCATGACGATAGGGACGGGTGTCCCGATTCTCCTGCAGCGCACGCTACCTACTAGAGGAGTTCTCCGCCGTTCGTAAATTGGCTTATGTAATTTTAGACGCAAGCAAGAAAATTAGCATTATGTGAGCCTGCAATGTGAAATAGTTAAAAGAAAAGATGGCTTGACATGAACAGCACACACAACTTGATATAACACTCGAAAAGTATAGTTTTTTTGGCACTCACCCCGTACAGCGTTCCTGTGCACCAGAAAAGGACAGCTGATAGTTTCCAGCGTTACTTGATACAAAAAGGAAAAACATTGAAGTGCCAGTGGTGATCCGGGGCTGCCCATCTCTAACATATTTGCGTGTCCCTATTCTCCTTCGTCCCAATCCTCCCGCCTCTCCCCTACAAGCACGTTTTCGGTGAAAGATGCCATCTTTTATGATAAGCCTTGTTGAAAATATCCCGTGTCATTTCACGTCGCCACGCACGAAAGTTCTCGGCACGCCGCCGTATCACGTGACGAAAATGGCCATTGAGCTACTGACGACATGCAATGGTCAGTGTAAACACGCTGCACACTATCTGTTGTTGCGCTAAATATATTTTTTCGGTCGGAATTCCATACACTGCTTTGCCGACAGCGCTCTCCTTGGCTGGACGCGCGACACGCTCACTGAACGCCGGGCGACCCCGGATCGGCCCGCGGCTCAAACAGGTTCTCTCGCATTCCATGGAGCCCTGTGAGGTGCCTCCCAGCTGGGTTAGCGGCGTCTTCCGTTCCAACGAGCTTATTTAACATAATTTATGCGGGTACAAAAGGGTACTTTGCCATAGTATACCATACCATTACCTTACCATAGTGAGCCTTGCCATGTTTCTGTTTCTTTGCTTGCACGGTGTTGTCATTCGCACATGCAAACGCGACGCGGCAAGGCGCTCATTGCAAACTCGTCACACCGGCACCGGTAGAGAAGCCGGGCGAGGATCGGGCACAGCCCTCGCACGCCACACCAACCTTTAACTTCGTCTTTAAGGCGATGCTTCGAGAGATGCATCAACCAGAGGTTTACCCCCGGCTCGTTCCCACGCTCCTGCCAGCAGGAAGCTTTCTGGCTTAGCCTGCAAGCCCAATAGTTCCTCCATTTCCCACAGCCCGTAAGCATTCGCAGAGAACACCGGAGACAGGGCTTTTTCAAATTCGGAGAGCGCATTCCAACCGTTGTGGCATCAATCATCGACGAGCGGGCAGCAGAACGGTGCAATATAAAGTGACTCGTAAAAGATGCTTGCATTGATAAATACACCCACGTTTGGTCACTTGCGTTTTTCGAAACCTGTACGGGGATCGACAGATTCACGCCGGCGCTCAACTAATGTGGACTGCGTATATTCCATGTCAATTCGATGAAGCGTATAACAATGAGCGTAAAGCGAAATCCATCGTCCCATGCCATACACACGGCATGGATGAAGAAGCGACGATGAAACTGTTACAAATGCCACCGCACAACTCGCCTAGAAAACGTATGGAACTCGGGACAACAGCTCGCCGATCCTAGGAGCCTCGCTTCTGCAGGTGATGTCATCGAACCTCGGACCTCCGAAAAAGTAGTCTTCGCCGAAACTCATGGAATTCAATAAGACGAACACCGGTAGCGCAGGACCCGAACACAAAGGTACCCATTGTCCGTCACCGCAACCCAGCCAACTGGACAGCTACAAAACAGAACACTGCAGCGGGTCAAAGCAACTTGAAAGCGGAGAATCACACACACACTTTACGTCAGCGACAGATGATGGCGATACGACAGCGTCTTGCTGTAACCGCGCACGACCGGCCGCGATCGGGGCAGACATTGAGACCGCGAAGGCACCAGACCGACCGCTGCTCCACAGCCAGGTGGTGGCACCGCCCTGCGCCATCGCATCACACACAAACGGTGTCGCCTCTCAGCGGCTCGTGTCAGCACCAGTCCCGCGCGGCGGCTCGGCCCCTGCAAGCACAACGCGAATCCCTAACCCCCGCACAGGCCGTCCATCTTCACGTTCTCGCACAGAGCACAGCCCCGCGCGTCTCACTACCCATCCCGCAACGCACACGGGCCACCGCCCCCCCCCCCCCCGCGGGCGGCAGCCGCCGTCCGAGTGTCGCCTGGCGCTGTCCGGTCCGCCCCAGAGCCCGCGG